GCTAGCTCGGCCTCAGCAGTTTAACAGCAATATTCCATGTGCTATTTAGGCTGGACATCAGAAAGCACTTTTTCATGGAGAGGGTGATCAGGCACTGGAATGGACTGCCCAGGGAGGTGGTGGAGTCACCATCCCTGGAGGTGCTGAAGGCAAGGCTGGATGTGGCACTTAGTGCCATGGTCTGGCCAGTGTGGTGGTGTTAGGTCATGGGCTGGACCTGATGGTCTCAGAGGTCTTTTCCAGCCTCAGTAATTCTGTCATTCTGTGACTTCGCTACCTAAACTTCATCCCCTTTCCCACTCATAACTGTATACCAATAAAAAGCACGAGAAAGAAGCAAAACAAAGATTTTGGAGGTGTTAGTTCCCTCTCTCACTCCCTGACCCCTGTGGTGCAGACACACTGAGTACCAGCAGGACTGAAACCATCACACACCCCCGCCCGAATCCCTGCTCTCAAAGCACTCGGCAAATAAACGCTGTGAGGAGCTTCAGATCTTGCTCCAGATCAGGCTGTTGACATATCCAGGCCAGTACATCTGTTTTATTGACTTCCCAGCGTTAGCCTGGTTCCTTAAATGAATTACAGAGCTAGGACTGTGTTGTCCAAGTGCACTGATGTGAATCTTTCAAACTCATTGACCAGCGCAGCGGCATCCGAAAGAGGGATAGTGGTCTCGAAACCATTATGTTCTTGCAAATTGCAAGGGAGACAGCCAGATAGAAGATAGATCCTCCTTGGACCACCCTGAGGGTGCAGAGCTGCGGGAGCTCAGCCTTCGTTAGGCAACAGAAAATCACACAGCGCATCCCTGAGCTCCAGCCAGAACAAAATCCATCAAAGCCTCTACTCTTGGGCCGCGGTGCTGCCGGCTTCTTGACACAAATAACCCAAAGATTTCCCCTCCAGGGAAGGTTTTTCACCCTTTTCTGCCCCAATTTGCTCTGCTGTGTGGTTGGGATGGGGATAGGCATGCGGGGAAGACCCAGCTGTGATGCCCTGGGATGCAGCTGCGGGCAGATGTGGCACTCACGCGATCACAACTACAATTTGCTGCCTACGCTGCAGGTCGCATACACTGCCCGGGAGTCTGAAACATACTGCTGTTGTCAGGAGAAATGAAAACAGCTATAAAAAGCTTAGAAAAAGATGCGCTCTGGGCAAGAACGGTGTGGGGTTTGGTGGTGAGAGAGGTCTCGTACTGCGGCCGCGTTGGTGATGCTGATGGGCAGAGGGACATGGGGCTGCCCCATCCACCACCAAATGCTATTTAAAAGTAAATAAAACCAACGTGCTGGTAACAAAATTAATGGTAATCAAGGTGTCTCCATAGAGATGTAAAACCGGGGGCTATTGTGTATGGCGTTAGCTAAAAACCAAGAGAGGGGCACGGGTGGTTCGGAGGGGACCGGCACTGTGCTCCTGTGCTGCTCCCATGTTTCTGTGATGAGGATCCAGGGGGCAAAACCTCCTGCAGAAAAAAGAAAGGGGGCTGGCAAAGGTAACATTTATTGTATTGGTGTTGTAGAGAAGGATAAGAGGGAAGATGGGTTGCTGTTGGCCTCTCGAGAGAAATGTTTCTGCATGAATTGGATAGCTGCTTTTGAATTAATTTTGAATAGTTGTTTCAGTAATTCAGATTGATTTAAGATGCACCCAAGAATAATGCTTTCATTATAAAACCTCCTGAGCAAAATTTAAATCGTGCTAAATTAAAAACAGCCTCTGTTAAACCAGGGCTGATGAGCAGAGCAGAGGGATCAGAGATGCAGGGTCAGTATAATTTAATTCCTTTGCTTTGTTTTCCATTCCAGAACTGCTGTACCTCTCTCCATTAGTTGTTACCACCTGAGCAGCTCACGAGTTGTCCTGGATTTCTCAAAACTGATTTGCACAGTAACCCCACCTAAAGCAGCACTTAACGCTTTTTATGCAGTGTTTCACCTCCAAGAAGAAATGCATTTTTATTGCTTTTCGTTTATGGGTCAATGTGGAAATGCAGTTGTATCCTAAAGATACTGAGGAGTCTGGAATAAGAGCAGCAGCCGAACAGTACCGTAAGAGAGTGAATGGTTTCCTGATGCTGGCCTCGTTTGTTTGTTGTAAGAAACTTTCACTTTTACATAAATGGAGCTAATTTTTAATGTCTTAATAACAAAGTGATCCATGTTCCACTCTGTCACAAGCAGTGGTGGAATTCCAGTGGCAGGGAAATGTTTGCTTGTCTGGATTTAAATGTTTCAGTGTTCAAAACAAAAAATATGTGTGTGTATAGATTGGAGTTAAAAGCCATTGTGCTTTGTAACATCTTGTTCTCAATGCTGGCTGAATTTTTAAAGGCAAATGGCAGAGAATAATTAAGGTGCTGATAAAAGCTAAAAGCTCTGAGCATTGCTGAGATGAGAGCAGGGACTGGCACCCCCTAACAGAGCCCAATGCATTGGGAAGCGCGGCAGAGCCCTTGGCTGCTTCTCTGGCAGCGCCTGAGCACGAGGAATTGCCAGGGCTCTCGTTAGCAGCGAGGTCCTTCCAAACAGAGGTGTGTGTGCAAGACTGTGTGGCAGTGCCTGTCTGTCAAAACTGCAAGGTTTTACAGGGAAATGAAGGGGCCAGGGGATGATAGCCACCCCCACCACGCAGCAGGAAGGACCCAGGGCCAAAACTTTGGCTTTTGGAGCTCCTGCAGTGCTGCAGCGTAGTGGAAGCCGTGGGTCCGGGCTGTGGTGGAGCCGAGGGCTGGTGCTGGCACCGCTGGTGCCGTCCCTGCACCCCCAATACAGGACCCCAGTGCTGTCCTGGGCAGCCCCTCCAGGAGGTCCGGCTGAGCTGCTCTGGCAGGAATTCGGGTTTTAGGGCTCACAGCAACAGTGTCTCTGCCCAGTCAGTGGAGCGGTTTGGGGTGACGGCTCGGCTGGGGAAGTGCTGGGTGCCAGGGGAGCACCACCATGGGCAGGGGGTGTCATGAAGCACAGGGGCCCTTCGGGGTCTGCTAGTACTGAGTTTCTGTAAGTCCGTGATACGGCACCAAGCTTAGCTGATGGGCTGTTTGCTAGAGAAGCCTATTCTAATTAAGGTCCTGCAACAAAACTCCCAAATACTAGAAGATTTATCTTAAAGGCTTTGCTAGCATTTTATAGGACTCTTTCCAACAAACTTTTACAAAGCAGTGTTTAAATGTGTAATTTTTAAAAATTCTTGTAAACTCATTAAAGGTACTCATTCATCCGTAATCTCCATGATTACAACAGATTGAGAACACTCTACAGTCCTCAGGAGCACTCTGGTTTGTGCATCCATGCGTTGGGAAGGGAAGGGAAGGGGAAGAAGAGGCAGTGGTGGCAGGGGGATGAGAGCGGCTCAGTGGTCCTACAGCACGTCCTGCGTGTGTGTCACTGCGGGGCTGTTCCCAGTCCATGCAGAGCCTTGCCTTGACCTCAGCCTCCCCGTCACAAAGGCATAACAGTGCAAGCATTACTGTACATGAGCGGGTGTGCGCAGGAAATGGGTGTCAGCATTATTAAACATAAATAAGACAATAAACCCGAATTTTCACACATTTCTCCCTTGTGCAGAGGACATGTGAAGGTGTCCCTCTGAGGCTGCTCAGATACCATGGTGGGGACAGGAGGGTGGGAACTGACCAGTATGGACCAGTCAGGACATGGAAACTGAACCGCACGGTGGGGGAGTGCTGGGATCTAAAGCCTGGGTTTGGCTTCTGAGCAAGCACTGACTTCTTTCCAGGGTAAGGACTTAGCTTCTGCCACACAAACCTGCAAACTTTGCTTCAGTGTTAAAAAAGGAGGAAAAAGAGATCTCTTGGTGACTATGACAAACATGTTCTACATTTTCATTTAATGAAGAAATTCAGACTTGCCGTTGTCATATGCTCAGATTCTGTGCCTTACTGACAGCTGAATTATGATTTTAATAATTTAAAAGTGCTACTGTGAGCCTGTTCATGTACAATAGGCATGGAGAAGTGTTTTAAAATCAAAAGCAGTTTAGAGAAAAAGTGGTCAGCATACTGCAAGAATGAGAATTGTCTACATCTGAAAATTAAACTGCGTGAACTCCCCGGTGGGAAAACTCTTTGCAAGGTAAGGGTAAACTTTGCATCTTGCTCTGTTGTGCGGAATTACGAGATTGCATTGGGTCACAACTTTGTGACCGCTGGAAGCAGCAGCCAGTGGCGCCTGTTTTTACGTAACCCCGTCAGGGTGAGGGCTTGGGCATTCTGCTTACAAAGGTTTTAGTTGAGAGCTACAGAAGCGCAAATCTATAATCTCAGTAGAAACATCTGTAAGATTGAAATGAAAAATAAGGGACAAAAGTGCCCTCTGGGCTACATTCCCCTTGCTTTGATACCTTTTTCTTTGTTCCTGTCCCTGGGAATGTTGGAAATTGTACTTCAAGTGCTAGAGCACACTCGTAGCATTATTAAACTCACAACTAAACACAGACAAGAAGCCCACATCCTGCTCAATTAAGTAAAAACCAGATCATGTCCCCAAGATCAACGAGTATTTTCAGTACAGCAGCCCACAGTATCCATCTGAATTCAGCACATTTATAGCTCCTGGCACATCAAGTGCAGAAACAACGACCGACATCGCGAAAAGAGACACAATACACATCAGCAACCGCGTGTAAAGTCTACGGCTCGAACGAATGTCTGAAGAAACGACACGCTCTGGCTGCCAGCGCCTTTTTACTCATGTTAACTTCCCTCTGCTGCAGCAGGAGTGCGAAACGGGACCTGCTACTCCACCGCCTCATTTACCATCGTGCCAAGCATTTGTCAAGTGGGTGGAAGTGCTCTTTCTGTGTTACACCACCTCACGCAAGCACAAACTGCAGAAGTTGTAAAGCAAAGAACAATCAACCCTTAACGAATCCAGCCCCTTTCCGAGCATGCACCCAGGAAAACGCTGAGGAGTAACCGAAGGCGAGCGCCTCGTACACGCTCGCCTGCTGCTCGGTGAAAGAAAAAGTAATACTCACCCCAGTGTTGTCATGGTGACAATAGTGTACCAAAAGGAAGCAGGAATACTGGTGAATTTGCTTGCCGAGGACCCTTTCTCTGCATAAAACATCACAGTTGCAAAGATGATGATTGCCATAGTGAGGGAAAAGAGGAGAAAGCCAAGCTCGGAGGCACAGCTCTTCAAAGTGTAGCCCAAGATTCTTAAGCCTTGGGAATGGCGAGAGAACTTGAAAATCCTGAAAACCCTGAAAACCCTTAGTGTCACAAAGGCTCCGCTGACGTCCTCGTTGTTGGTCATCACCAAGCCGATGTAGTACGGCATGATGGCCACCACGTCGATGATGCTCATCACGCTTCTGATGAATCTGTAGCGACTTGGGGCCGCAAAGAGTCTCAACAGATACTCAACTGTGAAAATCATCACACAAGCTGTGTCCAAGCAAAAGAAAGCCACTGCGTATCTTTCCCCACATGGAAGCTCCTTGTTTCCAGGCACCGTGCCGCAAGGGACAGTTTCCACGACATTAGTGATCACAGAGACAGCAATAAAGAAACCGGTGACGTAGTAAAAGACTAAGGCTAAGGTGCTGGTGTGGGGGTTCTCGAAGGCTCGCCACATGGTCTGCCGGAAGCTCAGGGATGGCATGGACCCTTCTTGGTTGTTTTCCGAGTCGTTGTCATCCATCAGCCGCTCCGCGTTTTCCCGCTTTCTGTCTTTGTACTCTTCGTAGCAGCAGTCCCCAATGATTTCGGGGAGGATCCCGTAGAAGGCAAGCTCTTCGTCATACGCAGAGATGCACTCGTACCTGGGATAGTGCAGCTTGCCAGTTCTATAAAAATTTAAGATGCACCTGAAGACCTCAGGGTCCCGGTCAAAGAAGTACTCCTTAGTGTCTTCGTTGAAGAAGAACTCCTTCTCGGTGCTGCCCAGGAGAGTGTCCGGGTACCTCTCCAGAGTAGTCCTCCAGGTCTGGAAACGCCTGCCGCTCACGTTGAGAATGATCAGCTCGTCCTGCCGCTTGTTTTTCTCCGTTGGGGCCAGTGGCATGGGACAGTTGGCCACTGGCATCCATCCTATGGCGGCTGCCCTGGCAAAGGGCAACCACGCTGCTACTCCCGCTGCCATGATGACCCAGGCCTTGTCACTGGAGAGGACGGTGAGGCTGCTCCTGAGACCTGCTGGGACTCAGATCAGTTCCATCTACAACACAGAACAAAACAAAACCACAGCACAGTCAAGCGGGGATCTTGCCCCATTGTGTTGAAGAGTCAGAAGATACCAGTATGTACACAAGGAGTCAAAACAACCGCTTGCCCTCATCTCCCATCTGAAGAATGATGTTAAACAAGGCACACGATAATCAGCTCAGCGGGGTTATGGCATTATTATAGACTGAAATTTTGAATAGCAAATGATTCCTCATTAAAAGCATTTTAAAAGTAGCATAAACACACTAATTTATATTTGCTTCCTTACAAACAAGACTAATCCATAATTTCCCAGGTGTAAGCCTCACGCTCATCAGTTTAACTACAGCTGTCAAGAAAGAGCTGGGAACTCCAGTGAAAGCAGCTTGCAGTTCACCCACTGAAACTGTGTGTCATGAAAAGCCACGGCTGGACTCAGCGGGGTTTCCAGTCTTAAAAAGTTCAATATGTAATGAACCTTGCACTTAAGAACATTGGCTGTTGAAAGAAACAGAAAATCTCTGGTTTTCATTCATTTTCTCCCACCTTCAACTAAAGACCTGGCCTTGGCAGCAGTTTCTTGCTGGTCTCTTTCTCTTAGAGATTGGTTTTACTCTTGGGAAGTATTGCATCCCTCCACCACACCAGAGGAAATTCTGACTTTCAGGGAAACATTGCTCAGAGGACCTGAGCAGCAGCAGCTTGGATCCCAGGTGTGAAAGGTGATGGATCAAGCCATCTGATCAAGCCACCAACTGAGTACCAAGAACATCAGAATGAAGGAAGCCTCCAAAGTTGGAAACTCCCTTCCAGCAAGAAGACACCCTGATGACTTCCCGGCTAACAGAGGGGGAAGTCCTTTAGCCAAAGAACCAAAGGTCTGTTAGGTTGAAATGAAGTAAGTTCACTACACCCTTGATTTTTAGATGAAAAATATCCCAAGTTTATCCTCAGCCATGGGAAGCCAACGCTTTCTTGAAATTAGAGCAGTTACTGTGGTTCTGATCTTGCCATGAATTTTCTGTTCCTTTATGGTCTCCAGTCAGAGTTCTTGCAATGCTTAACTTTTGTTTTAGCTTGTATTTACTTTCACTTCCCTGATGTTTTTCTAACAGTACCATAAAATTATCAGGAGAAAGGTGCCATTATCACATAAGATGCATTAGGAACCCTATCAAAAGTTGCATTATCAATGGAAATTCCATTGATTCCATGACTCAGGCCCTCTGAGCCTAATGATACCCTCTGCATGGTATCCTTCTAGGCAGTTTCACTCTGAATTTTTTAATTATATGAAAGCTGCCATTCCAGCCAGTAAGGCTGCAGCATTATTGATTTCAACAGGCCATCAAAATACTGAATAAAAAATGAAGGAGTCAATCTGTGGTGAAAATGGCTAAACTGCTCACAGAAATGCTCTTCCTCTTCAAGGCGCATTAACATTCATCACCTTAATGTGGAGCCTCTTTCTGGGCAATTTTACTATCGAAAGGACAATTGAAATCCCTTGTGCAAGCATCTTACTGCTGCTGAAGAGGTTTTGTAATTACGAAACATACAATGATCCACAGTGATGCTTATCCCAAGGAGACACTTTGCTCATATACGCAGCACTGGAGCAAACGTCCCACAATATTTCCCTATAAAGAAGTGTTCGATATTACTCTGTGCTGTGTTTTCTCTCCCCCTAAAGAGGGAGTTTATGGCGTTAATAGTGCCAGGAGAGGCAGCTCCATGATCTTGCAGGAAGGGGCACAGCGCAGCACCACAAACTTCCTCTGCACTGCTTGGGAATCGTGGCCCGGTCTGGGGCTGGGGGGGCTCCTGGAGCTGGGGGCTCCCAGGGCTGGGGGGCTCAGCCAGCGCAGCCACCCCCTGCTTTTAGCAGCAATAGTGAATCTGTTAAGAACGGGACTGCAAAACAGGAGGCAGCAAAGTGAGAAGCATTTCACTCATCAGTCACCAAATCTATAAGACCAAATAACAGAGAGGCCAAACTGCTGCATCCTGCTCCTCTGTTCCCTGCTGGAAAACTCTTCTCTGCTTTTTAATCTCAATTAACGACCCCGCCACAGCCATCCCACCAGGGCTGATGGGCGATGTGCAGTGACCTGAGCAGCTCCGCTGCACTGCATCCTCATCCCCCCGCGTTTCTCAGGGGAACCTCGGCAGAAATCTCTGCTGTACTTCTATAACTTTGGTGTAAATTCCAGGTTACCTACATTAGTGCTCAGGCACTATAAATACTTCACGTATAATTGTTCTAATAAGGCACTGGTAACTCATAAGTGACTTACACAGTTTTAAATCAGTTTTTTAAGATAAAATGGGTCCTTCCATGCTGGCAGTATGTGTGGGAGAGCTGTAAATACCTCAGCTATGTCATGGACAGGAGCGCAAAAGAAAAGAGAAAGAGGGGCTTTCTTCTGGGGAAGTTTTGTTCCTGTTTCTCTGTGACCAAGAGATGCAGCTGGTTAAGAAAACTTACTGCACACAGCTTAATTTTCAAAGTTGCATTAAGTCTGTCCCATCTGATCCCCAAAATAGGCAAAGAGAGTCTTTTTCAGCTATAAGTAGTCTGTCCGTGAGGAAGGACCAAGAGGTTTTGCTTTTTCTTGTCCATGAGACTTTGGAAACCCACCCCACCCCAAGATAAGAGACAGAAAATTAAGAGAGGTAGAACTGGATTTGTAACTCAGAGCTGCACAAACTCAGCTGAGTAAAAAAAACCATGAAGTAACTGCTTCATCTACAAAATATGGAAAGAATCCTCCTTTTCTGCACGTCTGGGTTTTGGTAACTGCTGTCCAGGCTTTTTAGGCTGAAAAGCAATTGGCCAGGCTCAAAATATACTGAGCAGTCGACAAGAGTCTCTTCAGCTCACATAGCAAACAGACACGCTTTAGTTCTAACAAGCACATATTTAGCTATACACATATTTCTAATTGTAATTACCATAATTCTGCATGTAATTTCAAAGGAATTAGTTAACAAAAGCTTGGTGCCCTGCTGCTGACATTTCAAGACCCAGTACTGGAAACAAAATAATTTGCCTCCTTCTGCCTTAAAAAATTCAGCATCTGTACAGAGAAGAATCTAGTTTCTTTAGATAATTCTGAGGACAGTGAGATGGTGCAAGGAAATCTGATAGAAAACCCTGCAGTGCAAGCCCCCCATGCCCCTTCCAGGACCCGACCCTGTCCGAGTCCCTCCCAGCAGTCGTTTCAGGGACACCCTGCTTTCATCCCAATTTCAAGCAAAAACCTGAGAGGCACGGCCAGGTCAGTAAAGCTCTGGAGGAAAACTTTAGAGAGCAGTTATTTCTGTTCACTAAAGGGTCAGGAAATAAACGCTGATTCTTACCACGGTAGCTCCCACCGGCAGTGCCGTACTTAATAAATGTCTCTTCACAGCCTCATGAAAACAGAAACAAAGCAAACATCTCATAGCAT